AGGTGAGTTATGAAGATTTGAAGAAAGGAAATTGACGAACCCAAAAGGAAAAAACCGCGTTATCCTACTATATAACCTTCTGAAGTGACGAGTGATAACAGATACACGGGTGAATTTCTGCTCACTAATAATTCCTTCGAAGACCAAAAGTTGTTATATGAGACTGTGGGAGGATATCTGACAATTCAAAAAAATAATTGACTGTCACTAATTAAGGGAAAACGAGAAAAATAGAAAAAGTCCGTACATTACCATGTTTTTTTATTAAGTATAGAATGAATAAAAACAAGGGAATGTACGGGCTATTTCTATTTTTCTGGTTTTACCTTATCTAATGACATTCATTTACTTTTTCAATTATCAGATATCCTCTCACAGCCTCACATAATAACGTTTGGCATTCGTAGGAATTTATACTGAGCAAAAATTGGCCCCTGTATCTGTTATCACTGGTCACTTCAGTCAGTTATATAGAAGGATATTGACATCAATATTGTCCTTTAAGGTGGTGGCATTGATCTCGCGGAGAGAAAATTTCTTTGTTGTTTATATATTTTATATCTGTTGTCCCATCCGAACTGCATACCAGGCTGGAAAATCCCCAGGTACTTTCTCGGCAAAAAACGTAATGAAACCCAAGACCTCCTGGTTTGTGGGCAAGCTCTACCATGGCTGCTGAAGTCAAAATTAATAAAATAAGCCACTTTCATGACATTTTGTAATACAAACGATTCTGATTGCATATACCTACCATTTCTTTGCGCGCATTATACATTGTATGAAAGTGTAAAAAAATAATTTATAACATTTATCATTTCCTGTATTGTTAATAAATACCAGCAACGTCATGGTCTCAAGCGAAGGCGGGAATTCCATAGAGAATATTTTAAAATTAACATATTGTTTCCGTTTCGAAGAATTGTTAATATTGATACAATATTCTTATCACAAAATATCCAGGGTAAATATATATTCTGTGTTATATGTTTCATTGATTTCGTCTGGTATAAATGTAAAATTCGTGTTTTGTTGATTATGAGTGAGATGTGTTCACGATACGTCATTGTTTGGATGGATCAGGGAATATGATTTAGTTATAACAACAGTAACACTAGTATTATTAGTCATTTCTTATGTGGTTTCTATCCATTGGAAGTTTAGAAAATTGTTTTACATTCGTTTGATTTCCATGAACAAGTGGTACGTATAAATAGAACATTCTATACAGGCATAGGAAGTCACATCGTTAACATATCTCCGAGTATAAAAAACAAGTACATGTATGAGCGTACTATGGACCAGCAACCGAGCTACATGTAGACTTTATAACCTTCTCTATATTATGTCAGACTCGCTCCTACGTCACTCCTTTTCTGACTTGCATAGTCAGAATAGCGCAGTGACGTAGGACGTCATTTAGAGCAGGTTATCCAGTCTACAACCGAGCATGACGTCATCTTGGAATTGTGACGTCATATCGAAAATCGAAGTCCGTCATAGAACAGGCATGCCCAATTTCATGTGGATGGCACTCGAATTGGCGGACACCTGTTTTTTCGAAGAGCGTCTGTCCCAAGAAGAAGAAGAAGAAGAACTGCAAGATGAGTAGCGTTTGGTTCCCAATGGACAGGCTTGTACGAAAAGGATAAATTATTATTATTGCTTTATCTAGGGTGTCAGGGTTATCTACTACCCAGCACTCGTTGGCTTTTAAAGTCTGATCAATATGGCGCATCTCATACGTACACGAGGTCGTTTAATATTTATGCTTTGTAAAACACATCATACCTCTTCTCGTATTTTATTCGTTGCATTTGACTTTAATGAAATAAAAGAAAGAAGGAAAGATTTGTGTTTGGCCCTGCTGAGCTTATTCAATTGACTGAATGATAGACTATGAATTTCCATTAACTGGAAGTCATTGATAATTTTGTTTTAAATTGGCACCGCAACAATGGCCTATTGAAGCCATTGAAGCCTTACCATTCAATTGTTGAATTCTTCTTGTTAACATATTTTTGGTGCAATTTGAACATGTGGTCAGCGAGTCCAGAAAGATCACATAGTTCACACGAAAAACATTGGGGGGGGGGGATTTATTACCTTGGAGCAGACGTCTACAAGAACTGATAACAATAACGGAACCAATTTCTGAAATATAGAATGCTGTCTATAACTAATTATCAGTAGTAATAATAATCCATTGCCAGCTTCCAGTAATGAAATAACACACAGGAAATAAATACCTGTCATTTCAGCAGTTAGAGAATCAACACGAAGCGTTTATCTCGTTAAGATAAGCCAGGTCATTAAACTAAAGGACGAACATTTCGGAAACAGATGTTAGGTGCTCTTTAAAGAAGGCGCTAGAACAGTATGGGAATGGCATCCATTAATATGATAACATGTAAAGTAGTGGAGGGTATATGTCAATGAAACCTGTTCTTGATGAAGCTTTCAATTATCATAAAGTGGTATCTTAAACCGGTCCTCTGTCTTGCACAGGTATTCTTAGTTTACATATAATCCAGATTTTCTATTCTATGAATATTACCAGCTTGTGTGTTCATTTCAAATATAACAAAATTAATATGCAGACTTAATATGCAATATCATCAAATGAGATAATGATGTTAGTATGAGAAGTAAAACATTTTATTGACTTTTTCTTAAAGAAATTTATTGTAATGGTATTTCGGAACTTCTTCCGTGGACTGTTTTAAATTGATATTTACATATTTTGGTTATTCTAAGGAACCCCTTCTTTAAATTTTGACGATAAAACATTTAATACGTAATTAACTGTATGAGTAACGTCAAAAATCATTCAATTTGGGTGGTTATTTTCATTTAGATAAGTAAAATGTGGTTTTTGTATATAGAATTAAGAGCAGACGACAGGTGTATGGTAAGTATACGTTAAGAGTTTATAAATTGTTTATATAGTATGATAACTCAAGGCTTTATACCTACAACTTATATAGATTCCGTAAATTAACCACCAGATAAAATATCGGACATATTTTACAGCAAAAACTACTGATATATTCCATGAATGACATATTGATAATTTTAAGTATTTTAATGTACACAGACGAGTGAAATGTTCTTTATGGTTTAAATAATTAAGACACAAACATTCATTGATCTTAAGTCAAAGAATTAAGCTCTGTAAAAGCGTCTTAAAATCGTACATTATAAGTTTGTGATATATCTGTATAAGTTTGTGATATATCTGTATAAGTTTGTGATATATCTGTATAAATTTGTGGTATATCTGTGAGGTTTATCCTTGGTTTGTCAGCAGGCTAAAAATCAATTAAGGGTGATTAAATATCTGCCTAAAAGTATAGTCACTAAATTAATGTAAGTAATACTCAAGATATTAAATCCACCGCTCCCCTATCTGAAAAGCTGTTCAGTGGTGGACCAAGTGACTATTTTATCCACATATATTAAAAATAAAAGTGAACGAACGAATAAAATATAACGACCTGTATTTACCAACATGGGTCAGTAAGAAGGACACATGGACCCTTTTCATTTCTGACAACAGGTCGTCCAAAGTTAGAAGACATCAACTTATTTAGACCAAGTATAATTTCTTGCTTTGAAAATAAAGAAATCGAAATCAAGAAGTAATTCAAGAAAAACCAAAAAGAGGAATGAGAACTAGCTGAAATACCAGCAGAGAAAATGAGTAAGTTGTATTCAAACGCCTCCAACTTCTCATTTTTAATGGCTGTAAACTGTCAGAATGTGCATGATGTCATGGCATCTTTGTCAGCATTGTGAATATGATTGATGAAGTCATTGAATAACTAGACCTTTTTCTTTGATTTGTTATAATTTTATTTCGAAAGAAAAAAATATCGTCTATTTTTTATATAAATTTCCTTGTTTTTGTTAACAACGTTAAGGCTTTAAAGAATAAACACCCATATGGATCGTTATTAAAATTCATCTTGTGCGTGTTATTTTTAATCATAATAAAGTCATAATCGCCGGCATTAAAGTTCTTTTGTATCGATCGCAGCACGTTGAATAGAAAGCTGCCAATGTATAGAAGAACGAATTATCTTATTTACATCTAAGTATACTCTGATGAAATGTTGAAGACAAAAGACAGACATGCGTAAAGAAATATAATGAAAGGTTTATAAGTGGAGGAATATTGTCTACGATAGAACGAACGAATGTAGTGGAAGAATTAATTTCTGAAATAATAAAGAAATGGACATTTTGTGAAAATTTAGGTCTGGGATTTCTTATTTTTCAGACTACTGAAGTGTCGAATCAAATAGATTGTCAATAAATTGAATTGTTGAACTAAAGTTTTTAAGTAATTTTATCGGATAAAGATTTTGCGTTTTGTTTTCATAGAAACTTTGTTTTTTTATTAACCCTACGGATTTATTACGTACAGTGTTTGTACGCTAGTTAGCTTTTACCTTTAGATTACTTCCCTATGTGTAATGAGTGATTTTCAAGCCAGGGGATAATGGAATTGTCTTGTAATGATTGTCTGCACCGTGGCAGAAAATCTGCTAAAAGGGTTGCAATTAACGAATATTTTTTTATATCAGCGCGGATGTGCATATGTAAATTATCTGTAGGGCGAATTCAACTTTGCGTAAAACATTTGTTTACACTATACTGATTAAAATCTAAGCTAAGAATAACACAGTTGGCTCGGTAATTGGTACACTCGGTGAGAAAATCCACGCTAATCGATTATAGCTTTAAATTCCGATGCACTATATACAGACACTCCTAGTCTAATTCCACCTAAAAGATTCCGATTACTTATAGAATAATAGTATTTTCTTTAAGCCCATACAGCAAAAATACGGGGCTTCTATCATTAAAAGTATACAATATAAGTTAGTATTACTCGGTGTTTAGTGTAGCGGCACCCGAGACTTATATAAGAAAGATGATATCGTATGTGGGTTTATATATCGCTGTACATAAGTGTTTGTATATAAGTTTGTATGTAGATGCGAAAGTTTCATTATTTACCCACGAGTCAAGTTCTAAACAAGCTGCTAGTGTGCGCGTGTGCCTAACGGTAAACGCCGACCAATAGTGAACGACAAGTCGATGCCTGGACACTGTCGCTTTGAGTTTATGACTGACAGGGTCAAAGTTGAAGCCAGATGCGATGATAGCAAGGAGATTACCTGGAGTTTCTAACGTACGGATTATTTCAGTTGGTGGATGTGATAGCATGGGGTGGAAGGATGTCGTGTAGTTCGTTTAACATTCCGTTTCTATGAGTAGTATAAATAGAAATTTAAAATCCAAAATGTTGTGGCGTGGTGGCAATAACTGATACAGTATATATACATATCTATGATATTGCCTTCCTTATATTATTTGTGTTGTTCATTTACTGTTATCTATCAGTGAGGAGTGTCTGGTTATTGAAGTCAGAAGTGGGATGTGTTGTTGTAAATATATTATATTATACTCTAGATTAGAAATTCAAATACTAGTGTCAGAAGTTGGATAGCACTTCGGAGAAAAAGATTTCTTCAAGTTTTGGATGTTGACGGAACATCAAGAGACTTTAATCAGCATGGGTACATTGCGTGACTTACAGTTAGCTTTGCAGGAGAAAATAGAGGAGTTACGCCAAAGAGATGAACTTATCGACGAGTTGGAGATGGAACTCGACCAAAAGGATGCTTTAATACAAAAGTTACAAACACAGTTGGATAAATACCGGTCTATTTTAAAACCTGCCACTCAGAACACTGTTGTCCATAGCCTTAATAACCATGGTGGCCCAACAACACAGGTTAAGGAACGTTCTAAAAGAACGGCCATATCCGCTGAACCTGCGAACTTTAACACGGTACAAGTTTTGGACAGTAAAACGGCCTTCGTGGCTAAAGCTCAATCGTAAGTCTATTTTCTGTCAAGCTTATTAAACTTTTTTAACGATCTCTCACGTCCAATTTGCATCGAAGTTTGGGATAACAAACAATTCCTCAAGTTATCCTTCAAACTATTGATTTGTGAGGCCTTAGTTGTTGAAAGTAAAATAAATTAACTTCAGGTTTGTCTTTAAGTGTGTTAATTAACACAAAAAATATATGTATTTGACATGTCGAAGAAAACACAGTGTATTAAATAATAAATAACTAAAAGAAATACAATACCGTTTACACTCGGGGCATTCGTTCAATGATAATAATAGGACAGTAACGTGATTCCAACGTGGTTTATAATAACAAACAATCTTAACCTTCTATCACTTAATACCTGAAGAAAATAAGACCTTAACCGAAGAAATAAAGCAAATTACCCGCGTGTATGCCTTCAAGAGTATTAATAGAGGAATGCGCTTCTCAATGAAACGATTCCATGTGTCAGTTAATGTTCAGTTTATGCACTAAACGCACATATGTTCCTTCATTTTATCTCACCCAATGGTGTTCTATGGTTGTGTTTATTTCATGTAGGTAAATATATATACTGATTGTACTCCCTGTTACCTGAAGAAACAATCTTAAAATTTTAGACTGCGCATATACATACCAAAGTAGCACAATGCTTGGATTCCCGTTTAGATTGTGTTTCAAACGTCCTGTCACCCTTGGTGGACTTTTCTACTATGTCATTAATCCTATAATTACACCAGGTAGTAATCATACATAACATCGATATCTAAACTGCACATAAACCAAGGCAGCATATAATGCTTCGAATTTTAAAATCCTTTTCAAGCGCTCTGTCAGCCTTGGTGGACTTTTCTGTTAAGCCATTATCCATATAATTTAACGATGTGGTAAACATACACAAGTTCGATATCTAACTGCACATATGCCAAGGCAGCATAATGCTTCGTTTCCAAACGAAATGTAAAACGAAGTCTAAAATGTGTTTCAAACGGCCTATCAGCCTTGATGGACTTTTCGATTAACACATTAATCTTATAATTAAACAACGTGGTTTTCATTGACAAGCCACGGGCTTAACATATTACTTTCTCATACAGAACTGTATTCCTAATTGTTGGCTCAATTGGTCAATTGACCACTCGTTATGAGGTTTCTTTTGCTCACATGTTCACTTCAGTGGTTTGCCATTGACTAATTATTTCCATTCGAACCGATAATCGAAAGATATGAGTTTTATTGGACGGATAAAAGCGGACTAAATATGTTATTTTCAATAATAAGAAAATGAGTTTGGTGTTTTCCATTGGAATTTTGATCAAGCAGACGTTGCTTTAAGGCAAATATAAACTGGTCATAGACTTATGTACTACTGATAAAACTTTATTTTCTTTAGAAGATTATACGATACTAACCATTTAGATAAACGGTCGCTTAACGTTGGTCTTTATTGTTCTGCTGTATCCATTCATGTGCTATTTAAAATTTTGTTCTATATGCTTCTAAGTTGGGTTATGTCTGTGAATTGTGCTATTAATTAATGAATTGTTTTGATATAAACACCAACTAATTAGACAATCAATTAATAATCTTTGCTATATTTCGGGAAACGCTATCATGCATTATCTTCATATATAACATCCTTCAATATACTTAGACCCAGATGCTTCCGTAAATAACCGAAAAACATAAATTTAACTCGTTTGTTCATTAGTATTCTGAAGAACGTTAATTTACCCCTAGGAGAGTCGTCTTAACTTGCTAATTTTAATTAATGGAAGTATCTAGTTTCAGACAAATTTATGTGTATATATAACTTCCATTCAGTTGATATTTCCTTGTCTACCCTGATCGACATTATAACGATGGTTACGATAACGCTTCTTTGCAACATCACACTGGGACAATTCCGGTAATTTATTTTTTATAGTAATTTGATTGAAATGTGCCAAACGATACTTGAATACACTTTTGATGATTGTAAGCTCATCCTATTCGTGGGATTTATGAGACGTTTTGTACCAGGTAACCCCCTGGGATTACGTGGTGTCGGATTACACTATTTTGGTTATCCATCCTCTCTTACTGTTCATTTTTGTATAGAAATTTATCTGGCTTTACACGAGATAGCCCAAGAATTCCAATCTTTATCACAGTAATATCTGTTTACATCCTAGTAGTATCAGCCTATTGACACATCTCACATGATCGTAATATCGTGATAAGGCATCGAATGAGATCCACTGATAAACATTCAATAAGCACACAAGTAAATTGATTTGAAGTCAGTATTAAATATCATGTATCGTGGGTCTGATAATGTTTGAGAAGAGATAAAACTTATTGTAACTAATTGCATGTTTTAAATATAATGACATAGATCTTTAGATCACATGTGTGCCTACCTCACCTAATTTGATTAAACTAGATTAGATTAAATTAGATTTGTTAAACATGTTTACGAACATATATGCATGCATGTGGTTTTTGGCTAAACTTTAAAAGTTTCATTGATGTATATTTTGGAGCTTGAGGGTTTTCTTTCCCATTTTGATGATCTTACAGCCATTATACGTATATGCTTCATTTATCAAACACTAAAACTTTGATTCTTTTCGTTAAAAGTGGGTCAAGATAACCTGGTTTATGGTGTTCATTTTTTTCATTAAAAGTTACTGAATGTCTGTAAATTAACAAGACACAACCTGCTGTATATGAATTTTAGCAGACTGGGCATGCATGACTGCAGACGAACGAAAAAACAGGGTGTTCAAAAAACAAATCCAGTGGACGCAGTGGTATTAATTGTTCCACAAAAGCAGTAACCACACAAATGCCCGTAAATTTATTAAACATTTTGGAATTGAAATTTATTTACACTTTAAAGGAGCTAAATCGCTAATATTTGAGACCTAGAAATTGACACAAATGGGACGCAAGGCATATAATAATGTAATATGAATGTGTATTAACTGATTTACATTCAATCGTTTCTGTTTTTACTGTAATTTCTAATGGCAAGTCTTAATCGAATGGCAACCTCTAGCGTCTGGTTATTCCAGTCTACGTCGATAGTATTTATTGCTCATGCTGTCCAGATAAGAATATGACGTCACCGTTTGACATGACTTGTGGAATATGTCTATCCTTGTTCGAGTCCCTTGTTACAAATGGCGTTGAAACGCATTATGGTACACAATTCGTGTACCAATAGTAAAATGTTTATTTTCTCTTAAATATTGGATATTTAAGATCACAACATCACTGTTGATTTAAATTGACAAATAATTTGTGTTTCGAATGTCGATATTGAGTTAGAGACTTAGCTACTTTAACCAAAAAAAAAAATATATAATTTATATGAGCTGAAATGAAATGAAATGAGGTTTAACGCAAAAGGTTTAATGAACTTGGTTTAACGTCCTAATTTTCTGCAAGCTGAAGTCGTGTTAATACATTTTACCTAAATAATGATACAATTTTATTTAATGAGATAAATTTATAAAGAATTACTTCTATGGCCGGATTTAATTTACATTAAATCCTTGTTTGGATCTTTTTTCTTCTTTTTTGAGAAAGTTTAATCAATGTAGGTCTAAAGAATCTAACGGTAAAGAGAAATGGCAGTTAAAGACTTGTTTTGGTAGAGGATTTTAATATAGATATACATTACTCGTTCTTATCTTAACTTGTAAGTAAGATTGACACGATATGTGAATGAAAGACAGTCTGTGTCTATGGCCATTCCTGACATTAATTTACATGTAGAAAGATAGTTAAGGTGTTTTGGTGCCATTTCTTGTCCATAATCAGATATTTAGTATGTACAGCTCGTAATTATCAGTGGAATAAACAATATTGCTGTTGTTATTATGAGGTTTTTATCGGGGCGAAACTTCATTATGTGTTTTAATGTGTCGAGTTATGGGACCTACAAGATTAAACAAGTCAATAATAATTTCAGCTACACTTCAAGATTCGTTTTAGGTTTTGGCTAACCCTTATATTATGCAAAAAATTGATTCACCAAAACATTAGATAGTAAATTAAATGAAGTAGGTTTAACACTGTTCTGTGAAAACGCGACATTAGATAATATCGTTGAAATGACGTATTTTGTACATAGGCTATTATGGTTTTCATCTTCATAAATCCTAAACACCCGAGTTGCCGCGACTTCAATAAACAGTTTTACGAGCAGGGTAATCGGCAATGGCTGTATATATGAAATATCATTACCAGAACCGTATATGGATCTGCGACACCCTTTTCTATAACCTATTTCAAGTAAATTACCATTCAAGAGGTTTTATTCTCAGTTTGTAGCCGTACACAAATAGATTCACCCACTATAATATTGTTTGTCTACACGAGTAATTAAAACAAATATCTTTAGTTATGTGTGTGAGGTTCGTCTGGGATATTGTTACTGGGAGTAAAAGAGAAATAGTTTCTATTGATGAATATTGTTGATTGTGTATGGGATCGTGTCCATCAACGTAAAGAGTCAGCCAGACAAACATTAAAGATGTCAAAAGCGTTTCGCCAAACTAAAGATAGAAATATTATCTTTGAAACACTCGATTGGTCATCTGTATTTTCTTTAATAGCCTTTGGTCATCAATGACCAGCAGAGTGACCGGTGGTATCAAATGGAAATCAGGTCGACAACTCCATTTAACAATCGAGATAAGATCATATCAGCTGTTAGGATATATTTAGATCTTTGCATACAGTAACAGTACTTGGACATGTTTATGAATATCAAATTTCACGCACTAGTCGTTTACATATATATGGGCGCCCCATATATATGCACTTTACCTATGAATCCATGTTCTGATTTAAGTTCTTTGCACTGTAAAGTAAAGGATATGCATTGATACAACAAATCTTTACTCGCGTCTATACTTGAGGCCTTAATTTTGCCTATCAACATAAATGGAAGGCGGTGGGGAGTGGTGGGTAATATTGAAAAGTATATAGAGCCCTATTCTCTCC